TTTTTTATTTAAAACAAAAAAAAATCTCAGCATTTATTGATTTGGTCAAAATCCCCAATTAGCATTTTAAATCCCCTCATACAAATAATTATAGATACAGCCCGTGCATAAACCTTGTGGGAGCTCTAATCTCTCAATCTTAATTTTCTAAATTTTTGATTTAAAAAAAAATCTCAGTATTTATTGATTTAGTCAAAATCTCCTGATCAGCATTTATTAACTTTTTTCAATCAACATGCCTGCATTTATTGATTTGGTCAAAATCCCTGATTAGCATTTAAAATCCTCTCATACAAATAATTATAGATACAACCCGTGCATAGTTACTGCAGTAGCCTTTTTAATTTCTCATGTACACTATGGTTAGTGATAAGATTGTTAAATTATTTTTATAAAAAATCTCAAGATGAACAAATCAATACAATTCACACTATAGAAATAAACTAATAATTAAATTCTTTGTACCTTAACTCCACCACTTTGGCCCTCCACTTCCGGCCTACACATATATCCCATGTGCCTCCAATATACCTAACACTGCTTCGAAGTCAAACTTGCACAGGGATATCGTCCTGAGTTTGACTCACACTCTCTGGATGGTTAGCATATACGTACGCGCGTAAATCAAAGTACTCGCATACTCATGAGAACGAGACAACAATATATATATACACAACATCTCACTCATGAGACTAAACATAACAATGCCATGCCTAAGGCATTCAAATAAATCTCATAATCCTCACTTTTTTTTATACGCTCTTTCTCACCAACACTCAAATAAAACAACAATCCATAGAGTCATGGTGGAGTATAAGAAATTTATCTATGAGTTCCTAATTAATTTTAATTTCATATAAGCATGAGTGTGATTACAACCATAAAATAATCCATATAAAAACCCTAAATATGTCATACACAACTAATGAAAATAATTAAAATTCATCAATCAACTTATAACCCAAAACCTTACATACACAACTAAACAAAATAATTAAAATCAATCAATCATCTAAAACCCTAAACCTTGCATACACCACTAATCAAAATAATTAAAATCAATCTATCATCTTTATACAAATATAAAATCGAACTAACATCAAATAACTAAAAAAAAAATAAAAATAAAAATAATGAATTAAACATAAATCAAGAGAAGTAGATTTTGTACTCACTATATTATTTTGAAAATTAAAAAAAACATTTAAAGAATTAATGAAACCACCAAAACAAAATCCTAACCCTAATCTTCCTTTCCTTTTCTCCTCTTCTCGCCCCTTTTCACAACTCACCCAACGCTATGTTTTGATTTCTCTTTCTCTCTCTCTCTCTCTCTCTCTCTCTCTGTGCTGAAGCTGCTGTTCTGATTCACTTTTCCTTAATTTGATTTATAACCTAAAACACTTGTTATATACCTAATAGTTATTATATTATATAATACAAATATAATTTAAATACAACCTAAATAAATATGATATATATATATATATATATATATATTTATGTTATTAAACAACTACAACATATATAAATATATTTTATAAAAACAATACATATAACACCCTCTTCTTTTTCCTTTTCTTTTTCTTTTTTGTATATATGAATATATAAATATTACTATTCTGATTAATTATATTCAATTAAATATCACATTAAATTAATTAAATAACACATTAATTTAACTAAACAACACATTAAATTCTCATGTAATCTCGCAATTAATGAAGCCAAAAATAAAATAAGATAAGAATAATCATAATAATATTAAATAATGACTTAAAAAAATTAGGGTCGCTACAACAGAAGTGGACTTCTTCCATTCCCTCACTTCCTTTTGCATAGCCCCAGATATGGATACCATGATAGGTTTGTGAGACTTGCCTTGCGCTTGCTTTGTTGCATTGGCGGTCGGCATGACCCTGTGAATGGCGAGAGCACTGGTTGCCTTGGTCTTGCTACGGGTGATCGGACCCGTAGAAGTGCTGCTGTTGCTAGTCGTGACAGTGGCATTCTTGCTGGCGTTCTTATTGATCGGAGCAATTTGAACTTTCTTTGAAGCCATTATGCTTGATCAAACAAGACTCTAGGAAGATGCTTTAGGAGAAAGAGACGAGAGGCAAAGAGGTCCCGCTGGGCGTGCCAAAATTTGTAAACACAAATTTCGTATTCTGCAATTAAGACGCGGAATAAATGCACAAATAATTAATTTTATTGACTATAATAAATGGGTACAATTTTCTATGAATTGCTCTATTACAAAAGAAAAAATCCTCTGACTCACTTTTTGAAATAGGTTGCAATCCAATGGTTGTAGAAGCTTGTTGTTGAATCAAACAAGTTGATGGATTTTTTCAAATCTTCGAATGGAGAAACTTGGAGAAGAAAGATTTGATCGAAGGCTTGAACGGCTTGATCTCGAACAAGTCTTGAAATGATCTCGTTGAAAAGAGAGACCAAATTTGTATTTGTAACTTAAAAAGATTGACACAAGTTTGGACTGTTTGATAATCATTTCTTTTGAGTTTGAGGAGTTTTAGAGAGAATTTAAAGAAAAGAATTTGAGCTTGTAAGACTATTAGCCAAAAAAATTGTGTCATTTTTCCCCTAATGAGAGCCTCTATTTATAGCCTTGGGATAGGAGGGTTAATTTTGGAAACTCTAAAATTGACTCTAATTTCCAAAAAACAAGCAATTTACCTATCATAGAAATTATTTGTATAGAAATTATTTGTATTGAAATTTTGAATTTAAATTTGAATTTTTCCACCAAATTCTAACAAAATATTTTTATGGGCCCCACACTTTTGGGTTGACCCAATTGTCAAAATAGGTTCACTTTTCTTTTAGTGTGACTCATAATTTAAAATGGATTAAGATTCATAATTTTAGTAGGACCCACATCTATTTAAAAATTTTGACCAATTAATCAAGAAAATTTATTTGTCTTGATTAATCAGTCGGTAATCAAGACACATAAAAATTTAAGTGTCTACACTATTTTAGATGCCTAAAAAAGTATTTTTCGGCTTTTAAAAATAAAAATTTTGAAATTATATAAGACTAAAGTTATATGTGGAATTTCTTTTTAAAAAAATTTAAATTTCAAATTAGATATGGATTAAATATAATTTTTTTTTTTTGACTTTTTATATAAAAAAATTTTAGATCCCTAAATTATAGATACTATTAGATGGGGGCAAAACAAATTATTAAAAATTCTTTGCGACATATAATCAAAGAAAATTAAAAATTTACCATATTAATTATTAGAGTATTTAATGAAATGTTAAGAAAAACATAAATAGTATATTTAAAAATTCAAAAATTAGATTAGAATTTGCAAAGAGGTAATAATGTTTTTGCTTGTATAAATTCTTTGCCACATTTATAATCAAGAAAAATTAAAAATTCACCATATTGATTATTAGAATAGGGGATTTTTTTTAAGGTCACTATTATTAAGATTTTATAGGATAAACGATATGCAATATTTTTATAGCGGTTGGGTTCCTCAACATTTTTTCAGAGAAATTTCGATCTAGAGAAATTTTGATCAATAGAAATTTCAAAAACGCAAATTCTCTATGTTTTGAAATTTCTCTGATTTGCTTAAATTCTCTGATTTTCTTTGTGTTTGGAAAATTTTCTGATTTGTTCACAAATTTCTTTATGTTTTGACAAATTTTCTCTAATTTACTCACAATTTTCTTTGTGTTTTGTGTTTTGATCAAACTAGAGAAAATTGAATTACAAAATTGAACAGAGATAAACTGGTCATAACCATTCATGGTGATGATGATATATCCACACCAAATCAATTACCCAAATCAGCAACAACAACAACCAATTTATGAATCAAGAAGATGAAATTCACAACAATCAATTTATGAATCACAACTCATGCCATTGAAGGCACTAGCTGCAACCCAACAACTTAAACCTATAAACACCAGAACGATCAAAAAACAATAATGTGCGAATTCATTCCAAATTGCAGAACAAATAAAAGGCTAATTCATGAACAAAATGAGAATCAATACGTGGCCAATCGACTCCAAAGAAATACCACATCATTACAACCGAACCGATTCTTGACCTAATTGTTGACTGATGAACAACATAATTTGTTCATATATATATATATATATAGAAATACATACGAGTTTCTTAAGCAAGGCACGAATCCTCGAACGAATGTGCTTGGCTTTGATGGAATCGAAGGGCAGGAAAACGAAGTCCTTCAAGAAAGGGTTGTTGTCGATGATTAGAGATGTCCTGATAGAATCAAATAGGTAGCAGAAGGAGGAGGAGATGCAGTGGAGTTGCGGCAGAGACGGAGGCAGCAAGAAAAAAAGAAGGAAGAGGACCAGAAGAGACCATAGGCTACAAAAAAAAAATTAAATATTATGGACCTCTCCCAATACTAAAAGTTGGACAGGTATGTTAGACTAAATATCTCATTAGAATATTAAAAAAAAAAATCAATAAAAAAATTATTATTATAAATTCAAAAAAAATTAAAATTTTACTAGAATTTTAAACCTCAAACAAGCAATAATATTAATATTTTTACATATATAATAGTATAGATTTAGCCTCCGTTTGGGAAGTGGGTTGGCTTTTTGGCGATTTTAGCCTGGTTTGGGAAGGGCTTTTTGGCTTGTTGACTTTTTTGACTTTTTTTGTGAGAAATGATTGTAATGATTATGGGTTGAATTTGATGTTTTGTTTTTTGTGACTAAAATAACCTATTTTATTTTTTGTGACTATTTTAGCCCCTAACCCACCCAAACCTTCTTGCCAAACAACCTCTTAGAAAATTTATAAATTAATTTAACCACAATCCCTCCAAAATGAGCTTTGCCATTGATATGTCCAGATCATCAACTTTTGTTGCAGCTTAAAGAAGTTAATTATAATTTAAATTATTTAATATAATTTCTGTTTATAATAGTAAATAATTTAAATAAATTTTTTTTAAAAACTAAATTATCAACTTTTATTATACAAGAACAATCAGCGGCCGGCGGAAGATAGAGTTAGAGAGAGAAAGAAGAAGCAAATCAAGCTCCGAAAATGGCGGCAGCTAAAGCTGCGTGCTTGAACCACGTCTCAAGAGAGTCGTCAGACATTAACCGCCTCTCCAAATTCTACCAGGAGGTATAATTAATACTCTTCTTCTCTTAATTTATCTTCAACTTTATCTAAATTTGCTCCAAATTACTCTGATTTCTCTGATATGTATGTGACTATTGGATCATGTATGAATTTATGTATATATAAAAGACATGTAATTTGTGAGTTTGGGTTGCAGATTTTTGGGTTTTAGCTTGAATTCAATGCCTAACTTCAAATTCCTCTAAATTAGTCCAAAAATTAATCTGATTTCTCTGCTATGTATGTTTGTATATGTATAAATATGCTTATATAATTTGTGGGTTTGGGTTGCAGATATTTGGGTTTCCAGAATGCAGATATTCAAATTCCTCTAAATTAGTTCAAAGCAATCTGATTTCTCTCATATGTATGGATGTATGTATACATGTATAAATACGCTTATATAATTTGTGGGTTTGGGGTATAGATTTTTGGGTTTGAACATGACACAACGGAATACACGGGGACTAGATATCGTTCTAGTAGACGAACGAAAGGGGCTCTCGAATCCACGAGAAAAATAGAACCTTGAATCCACAAGGAAGAGAAATATTATTGAATGAATGAATAAAAGTTGTATAAAACTTGTCTTTGCCATGAGGCTTACATAGCTATTTATAATAAACTAAACCTAATACTTGTAGGAAAAGTGATTCCAAAATAAACTAGGAAACTTAAATCAACACAAATTAAGTAACCTAAGAGAACTAGGAAACCTAAGAGACTAAAATTCTAAACTATTTAAAATCCTAGTCAAAATCTAATTCCAAAATAATAAAATTAAGAAACCTAATAATTCTAAAATATTTATACTAAATTACAAGAATCCTAATATTATATCAAAAATATTAAAACTAAAAAATATAAAAATTCTTAAAATCTTGTCCTTAAAATCTTGTCCTACATCAGACTCCTCTTCTTTGAAAGAACTCGTCCTCGAGTTCATATTAGAGATCTGCCATCGTCCATCCCAAATAAAAAGATACTTGGAATACTTCAGTTGTTTGTCCCTCTTCTGAACATTATATGCAGAGAAGTTTACTTTCTGAAAGTTGTTCTCTATATGCTTCAACTGGTTGACAAGATCAATTAGACAAACATTGAAAATCAAATTAAATTGCCTCACACCAAGAAAATCAACGAAGTGTATTTTATGTTGATGTTGGATACTCTTTGGACTCTGCTCTGTCTTAGAATCAGTTGGATATTCAATTATCAATATTGCAATATCAATTGCAACATCCTCAATCAACTTCTTTGGTGCACATGTCAACTTTATTACCTCATCTTTAATTTCTTCTTTTCCATTGAGTTCAGCTAGATCTCCGTCTTTTGCGATCTCATAACCATCATAATAATCAAGAGATGATAGTTCTGTCATTAGAAGCTCTTGGCTACCTTCAACGTTTTTCTCTTGCTTCACCTTTTCATTGTCTTCTTCAAACATCTTGATCAAAGTAATTTCAGTGACCTCTCGTTCATCAATTTCAACGTTCTCACCATTATTGAAATCAACTTGATTTTCTACTTCAATTGAATGTCTGTTTGGGCTTTCAAAATTTTGAAACATTGAGATATTCAAAACCTTTTCTTCTTCAATGTGTGGTGGAGCGTAACAAATTTGTTGACCTATAAGACTTGATTGACCCAAACTTGGCAAAGCCGTAGTCATGTTTCTCGAATAATCTTTATCCACAATTGCATAACAATTATTGAGTTGCGAAGAATATTGTGAATCAGAATTACCTTGGAACAATTGTTTCGATTCAAGCTTTCTTTGATATTGTTGATACAATATTTGCCCATGATTTGATTGAAGGAATCTAGAACTCATCACCTTCTTCATCTTATGCCACGTCCTAATGGGTTGTTTGTATTGTCGCCTTCGACCATATTGCAATTGTTTCCACCATGTAGACACATAACCTTGTAACTTACGTGCGACATATTTGGCTTGCTTTTCTTCAGAGATTTCCATACACTCAAGGAATTTGTCAACTTTACGAAACCAATACATAAAATCCTCGGCATGACAAGAAGCATTAAAATAGGGAATTTCTAGTGGTACTTGATAATTTGAAAAGTCATGATTGATACAATTATTGCTATTGAACACATCACTGAATCTTTGTTGTTGCCTTACCGACTGATATTCACCATAATCCTCAAATAACTCATCTTTAGATTTATCCTCATTATCATATTGACAATAAAAAGATCGTCTCAAGACGTTGTGGTTAATAGGTTGGCCTTGGACAAATCCCATAGCACGGTTCCTATTAACATTGTGACTAACAGGTTGGCCTTGGGCAAATCCCTTGACTCGAATCCTATTAGATCTTTCTCTATGATCATCGTCAATAGAGCTTGTACTTCCTCTTTCGATGAATGACATCGAGCCAGGAGAAACCTTGCTCTGATACCACTTGACGCAGCGGAATACACGGGGACTAGATATCGTTTTAGTTGATGAAAGGGGCTCTCGAATCCACGAGAAAAATAGAAATATTATTGAATGAATGAATAAAAGTTGTATAAAAGTTGTCTTTGCCATAAGGCTTACATAGCTATTTATAATAAACTAAACCTAATACTTGTAGGAAAAGTGATTCCAAAATAAACTAGGAAACTTAAATCAACACAAATTAAGAAACCTAAGAGAACTAGGAAACCTAAGAGACTAAAATTCTAAACTATTTAAATCCTAGTCAAAATCTAATTCTAAAATAATAAAATTATGAAACCTAATAATTCTAAAATATTTATACTAAATTACAAGAATCCTAATAATACATCAAAAATATTAAAACTAAAAATATAAAAATTCTTAAAATCTTGTCCTACATCAGAACAAATAGAGAGCCCCAAGCTTGAATTCAATGTGATATATATCTTCAGCTTCCTCTAAATTTGCCCCAAATTAGTACTCTGATTTCTCTCATATGTATGCATATGTATCATCTATGAATTTATGTATATATATATATAAGACCTGAAATTATGGGTTTGGGTTGCAGATTATTGGGTTTGATCAGATATAGAGCCCGAAGCTTGAATTCAATGTCAAACTTCAAATTCCTGTAAACTAGTCCAAAAAGTAATCTGATTCCTCTGCTATGTATGTATGTATGTATGTATGTATGTATATGTGCTATGTATGTTTATATGTATAAATACACTTATATAATTTGTGGGTTTGGATTGTTGATATTTGGGTTTGAGCATATAGAGAGCCCCAAGCTTGAATTCCATGTCATGTAACTTTAAATTCGTCTAAAGTAGTCCAAAGCAATCTGATGTCTCTGATATGTATGTATGTATGTATGTATGTATGTATGTATATAAATACGCTTACATAATTTGTGGGTTTGGATGCAGATTTTTGGTTTTGAGCAGATAGAGAGTCCTAAGCTTGAATTCAATGTGATATGGCTGAAACTGGGCCCATCTTTCTTTCTGCACATCATCGAGAGGAACCCAGAGACAAAGCTTCCGGAAGGACCGTGGAGTGCCGTCTCGGCCGTCGCTGACACTAAGAATCTCCCCAGAGGTCATCACATCTGCTTCTCCGTCTCCAATTTTGATTCATTTGTTCAAACCCTCAAGGTATATATTTTTTCCTTCTCTCTGTGTCTCTATCACTGTATCTATCTATGTATGTGAATACATGTGTGTATACGAGTATAGAAAGTGTAAATTACTGTTCAGATTCATAATATTCCTGTGGCTTTTGGCTTCTGTGGTTGTTTAATTTCTATTGTACTTTCAATCATTTGTAAAGTAAGGATTTTTTTGGCGATAAAATGTGTATGAATTTATGAATTTTTGCCAATTGTTGTTCTGGGGCTGATATTACCTATGTTACATGGACACTCGACACTTGGGTAAAAGTACGAGATGTGTCCAACATGTGCAGTTCAACATTCACCCAACAAGAATATTTTACATATAATATAACTATGCATAAAATTTCATAGTATACATGAAATGATATATTACACCTTGTAAACACCATTTTACCCTAGAAAATTAAAGAAATATATTCATAAATATGAATGTTTTGTCGTGTCCCCATGTCCTTGAATGTGAAAACTAGATGGACAATCACCCAATAGGTTATTTATTATGCATGCAAATTTACGTGGTGATTCGCAGGAGGTTCAATAGTGTACCCATATAAAGATTTTATATATACTGAGGATTTAAGAGATGAGTTTAAAGCCACTATAAAGAAATGAAAAAAAAAAAAAAAACTACAAAAAGCTATGGTGCAGACTTATATGTACCTAGTTAGTTAGTTATTTGTTTTTTTTTTTAAACTCTCTTTGAAGTTTGAACTCTTAAATGGTTGTAGTTGTACATGTTTTGCAATAATGATTAAACTACACTGGTGAGTTTATACGAACAATGACCATATTTGAACGTCAGTAATCCAATAACATGCTCAAAGATTCCAACTAGCTTAGCTGTTAAAATCTCTTGGTAGTCATGCTCGAGATCGAATCTAGGTTCATCTGAGTTAAGTGGTAATCGGGCAGGGGGTGGTCTACCCCCTTGGTGCACACGTTGTCCAGCACATTATGTTGAACTCAAAAGATAATGACAATACCACTAAGAGGCACAAATACCTATTATTTTCTCATTTGTTATATGGTAGAAATTTCTTCAATATTAGGTTCCCAAATTTATGAATTATCTTACTAAGGTTTAGTTTCAGCTGTTATGCAGTACGGACAGATTAGCGTGTATTATCATCGCGTTGCATACATGACTACATAGATATGTGGGGTAGCCATTACCTGTAGTTTACTTCATTTTATATTTAATGTCTCAATGGGCTCACCTTGTGGCATAGGCTGCCTTAAAACCATAGACAAACACAAGATTGGTCTACGTTTCTAATATTTTTTTAATTGATATAAGAAATTAAAATATGTTAATAGAAAACAAAGAATGTACTATGAGAAGGATAAGACATCCATTCAAGAGAAAGAAAACAATAGTTGCAGGGGATATGTTTTGGTGGCCAGGCATGGTGGCACATTTCATTTGGATCAATAGTTAGCTAGAACTGAGATATGACTCACAAAAAAATCCACACCTTTCTAACCCTCTAGATCCCAAGGGGAGGTCAAATTGACTGACAAAGCTACTTTATCCTCACCAATGAATTGGCCCTTTCACAGCTTGATTTTTGTAACCCAACTAATCTGCACCTCCGAGGAATAGACGGTTCCATGACTCCTCTCATAAGATGACTACCCTAGGAGCCACGCGAGCTGGACTCAGTCCAATCAACAATCACCTTGAGATCACCAGCAACCAAGCAAAGTGAAAGGGCTTGCCAACTGGTATTTCCAATACCCATGCCATGAAATATCATTTGAAATCAGAGTTCCAATTATCTTTTATGCTGTATTTGATTGAGGGATTTGAGAAGAGATTTGGAAATAGAAAGGAAAAAGGTGTGTGAAACTAGGTAAAATGTAGGTATATTTTATTCACATTTCACCTATCTTTTTCCTTTCCCTTTCCAAATCCCCTAAGTAAACACAGTGTTGCTACTTCAAAAATTGGTATATAATGTTTTTTCATTCCATGAAGCTGTTTGGCAATGTCTTTGCTTGTTCCCTAGATAGGTTTTTATTGCTGAAGCACTTGTTAGACTAGAAACGAAATTTAGGTAAAAACTAGGGTAGCTTCATCATGTGATAGTGACAAGATGATTTTTTAGAGTGGACGCTCGATTGCCCTTGTTTGGACTCATTCATGGGAGAATGAGAAGCTATGAAGCACGGACACGGACACGGATACGGACACGGGACACGGCAATTTTCAAAAAAGGGGGACACGGACACGGCGGGGGACACGGCGAATTTTTTTTTTTTTTAATATATATATTTGTATGTGTTATGTAAATTAACAAACACTAACATAGTAACCATTAATTCAATAAATATAAGAGAGGCAAAAGATTCAACATCCAACATCTTGAAATAAATATAAGGGGAAAACATCCTAATATCTGGCAGATTGTGTTATTGGCAGAATTTGAACTAAACATTTTTCCTATAAATTAACATTAACATTAGAAGGATAAAAAATAAAAAATAAAAAATAAAAAAAGAAGAGTTTACATACTGTATATATGTATATATATAAACCTATAATTATTATTTTTTAAATACAATTTTATATATAGACACATAAAAGTCTTACAAAAAAAAAAAATATTTTTTTACATTTTTTAATATATACTCATAAAAATCTTACAGTTTTAAATACAGTTTTTTTTACATATAATTAAACAAAAAAAAGGTCTTATATATGTAAATGTATAAACAAATAAAAATAAAAACAAAAATAAAAATAAAAAAGTCTGGTCAAACGTATAAAAAAAAAAAAGAAGACAGTTCAGTTCAGTCGAACCGAAAGCAGAGCAGAGAGAGAGAGCGAAAGAGAAAGAGACAGGCGAGAGAGGGGCTTACCTTCGAAGACGACTAGATCGAAGGTCGAAGATGCTGGATCGACTGAAACAGAGACACAGACGACTGGATCGAAGGTCTACGATTGACTTCGGAGGGCTTCGATCGACTTCGGAGGGCTGCGACTGAGAGAGAGAGCTTCGATCGACTTCAGAGGGCTTCAACTGAGAGAGAGGAGGGCTTCGACTTCGACTAGTAGGTCTGATTTTACTCTATTTTACCTCAGTTGTTCGATTAGGGCTTTGCCCGTTAGTTTTTTTTTTTTTTTTTTTTTTTTTTTTTTTTTTTTTTCCCCTTTTTTGGTTTTCACGACCCTGTTGTGTCCCTTGGCGTGTCCAGATATAGACACGCGTGTCCCCGCCGTGTCCCTGCCGTGTCCCCTTCCAAAAAAATTATTAAATTAAAGGGACACGCCATCTGGCGTGTCCCGTACGTGTCCCCGGCGTGTCCCCGTGTCCCCGGCGTGTCCGCGTGTCGGACACTGCCACGACACCATTTTTGGAGTGTCCATGCTTCATAGATGAGAAGTGGCTACGAAATTCTGAAGTACAACTAACAGTCACGCCTCCTTTAGTTAGGACCAATGATTTGCATCAAGCTAAATAATTCTCTTTTACTTTTCTATGTAAGTCAGACATGGTTATGTTGTGCAGGAGAAGGGAATCGAAACACACCAGAGGGCCCTGCCAAATGGAAAGATCAAGCAAGTATTCTTCTTTGATCCAGATGGTGAGCTTTTATAACCCCCTTTGTTTCAAATAGCCTCATGAACACAATTATATGTGAATTAATATATTTTTAATATTATTGTATTTATTTTTCTTTTCAAGTTCGAGCTTGCGCTCAGTTCGTTTATGTAATATAGTTGACTCAAGCTGACCTTGAGCTCTAGTAATTTTCAGTGAACCGAGTTGCTCAGCTTGGCTCATTTGCAGCCCTAAGTATTGAGAAAATGACCAAAGTATCTTGAAGTGTACAGCTCTCCTTGCTGAAATATTGACACCGTTATTTGCTTAAAAGCATAATAGTTGCCATCAGCTGCGGGGCCACCAGCCACTTTTAATCAGCAAACAGAGTTCTTTGTTATGTTATTAGTTGACATTTTCCTTGCATGTACTTGATGGAGTTGCAATTAGTGAAATTTATTGAAATCATATTTTTTGACGTGCAGGGAATGGCTTGGAGGTTGCAAGCCGTGAAGATCCAGAACAGTAAGCTGGGGTGTTCCATATGCAAGTGGACCTGATAGAATGAATCGATTGCGAACAACAGATGAATTTATGTTGACATGTAATTACATAAGAGGTCAAAAAAATCCAAAGACCCTAAATTTGGATGATTTGTGCTGTAAATGAATGAACTTGTAATGGGTATTGTATATGACTTGCACTCCAATTGGTACTTTTACCTCCTCTTCTTGTTTGGGATAATTTTATCTGCATTATATTCTATGTTCTAGTACTACTTATATTCTTTTGGGTTTTTGTCCATGATAATAGTGATTTCAGATTTCGTTTTAGGACCCTTTTTTTTCTTAATTTTCTAGACATGGAATTTTTGTTTTGTTATGAACTTTAAATCCTTTTAGGAAGCTTGTTATTCAAGTTGTCATTGTGACTGTTTATTTTAAGAAAAATTACCAAAAAGTGGTGAGTAGACAAACTAGTTACAATTTGATGGAAATTCAATATAATTGTTTTAGAGATGGAAACTTGTAATTTTATTCAAGTGTAATTTTTAATCCGTCCCTATTTTTCTTTTCTCTCTCTTTCCTTTCCCTCCCCTCACGCCCATCTAATTTCTAGTTTTTGAGTTTTGAGAAAGTTAGATGAATATATTATTAGGACGTGTTTTATTTAAGATTTTTTTTTTTTTTTTTATTTCAGCCATTACTAGCCCCCCACGTGGAGGTGGGGGTTGCTGGGGGTCTCCCCTGCTGGGGGTCTCCAGCAGGGCCCTATATTATTAGGACGTGTTTTATTTAAGATGTCATTGTGATGTGTTACCAATCTATGGCATTTTTGGACTCTCATTAATAGAATAATTTTTTTGAGTAATTATTAAACAATTTTATAGTATCATGTAAGGCCGTGAATGAATTAGATTTAATCTGAATTCAATCCGAAAATTTCAATGCATTTACAAAATATCCGATCCGGTAATTCAATAATCCGAATTCGTTTGATCCGTTTATTAAATAGATTGAATATGCAAAAATTCAATCCGATGATCCGATATGATTATTTTAATTTGAATGAAGAAAACACAAAATAAAATTATCCCTAGTATCATGTAATATACATGGCAATTTTTTTTTTTTTTTTTTCTCTTTTCGGCCGCCAAACTGACACTTGTAACTTCAGGAGCTAGCCGCCAATAGCTGAGCTCTCCCAGGTGCCACGTGTACTACTACAATCCAACACACCCACTCACTCATCTGACACGTGTCCTCTCAAAAGTAACGTGTCCCATACATTCCTCACTCAAACAAACCTATATATATAACTCTTCACACTTCCCGTAATCTGACCACATCATGAGCCAAGAACAGCCACGGCAACCTCAAGATGTTCAACAAGAGCCCATCAAGTACGGCGACGTATTCGCAGTCTCCAGTGACCTGGCGGAGAAGCCTATTGGACTGAAAGACGCCACCAAGATGCAGACCGCGGAAGCCACCGTCTTCGAAGAGACCCAGAAGAGTGGGGCCGCCGTGGTCATGCTGGCGGCGGCTATAGTCAATGAGAGAGCTGGACTTGTCGGCTCCAATGAGGTCGCGGACGTCACCGGAGACATAGGTGTAACCGTCACGGCAACCGACTATGGTACCCTGGTTATAACTGAATCAATCGCTGGACAGGTATCAATATATGTCATTTTATATTTCTCAATTTTTTACATGGCATTCATTGTATCAGCTTTAAATTTTTCAAATTTAATTTTTTAGAAATTAATACAAATAAAATTCTCTTCTACTGATCTATAAGATTCTCTCTAAACGAAAAGAAATTCGAAAGGCCTGGTTGAGTTCTTAATAATAATCACTGGTTTAAATTTTTTGAATTTAATTTTTTAGAAATTGAATTTTTTATCCTGTCATATTTTATTTTATTTTTTTAGTAAATATTTTTTAAATTTTAAATAATATTTTAAAAATATAAACTCAGCCTTTTACATTTGTAAAAAACTGGGTTTATTTTGAGAGTGGTTTGGTTTGTATAGGTTGTAGGACAATACTATGAATCTACACAAGTGCAACAACAGCAACAAACAACTCCTGGATCGCTTGCGCAGTCAAAAATAACAATAGGTGAAGCACTTGAAGCCACGGGCCATATAGCCAGCAACAAGACGGTGGACAAGAGAGATACCGCTGCGATTCAGGCGGCGGAGGTGAGGGCAACTGGTAGCAATGTCATAAGCCCCGGTGGTGTTCCTGTGGCGGCTCAGTCGGAAGCTTCTTTGAATGCCGGGTTGGTCTGTGATGAAGACAAGATCAAGCTCACTCATGTTCTCACGGTAAGATTCTCGCCAACCTCATTCATGTGTTTGAGAATAATACACTATTATTATAATTTTTTTTTTCTTTTTGGAGGGGCTGTGTTTGGTTGGGGGATTTGATGAGGAATTTAGAAAGGGAAATAGAAAAGTTAGGTGAAATGTGAATAAAACATGTCTAAATTTCACCTAGTTTCACACACCTTTTTCCTTTCCCTTTCCAAATCCCTCCATAAATCCCCCAACCAAATACAACATTAATGTTTGTTAAATTAGTATAAAAATTAATTTTAATTGGAAAATACACGTGCATAAAAATAAAATTCAAAGAAAAAAGAAAAAAGAAAAAATTACAAAAAAAAAAAAAAAAAAATTCCAGGACCAAGGGGGATCTCCATAGTAATTTAGTCCCTTAGATTTCACAAGTAGGAGATTGAGACAGCCCCCTAGGGATGGGAAATTCATAAAAAAAAATAATATTTTAATCATTAAAATCAAAATAAGTATACATAAGATATCTAATATATATTTTTTATTAAGTTTAATGACTAAAATACTTTCTTTCTTTTTTTTCTTTTTTTTTTTATCGATTTTACTTAATAAAAATAGATAAATGATTTAATTTGAAAAAAAAATTAAAAGATTGGGAGCATTTAAATTGTTTCCGGTTTATTTTGTTACAAGGCGCGAAGTGTGAGTTAGTTTTTTTTTGTTTTAACGGTTTGAACTTTTTTTCCTGAACTGTTTGAATCTTTTACTGGTTGACCGGTTGGTCAACCGGCCGGGCAACCGGTTGGTCGACCGGTGTACCATTTTCAACGGTCAGTAACAGTGATTTGGTAAAATATGTGTCTTGATCTTAGTTTGATGTCTTGTTTGCTGAATTCTCATTTTGGTATGACTTTGGTGCAACCGTTGGAGCGTGAAAAAGTGAGTTTTTCATCAAAATTTAAATCTGATGCTAGGTTTGATTCACCGTTGGAGATAGTCTAATTAGTCCCTTAGATTTCACAAGTAGGAGATTGAGACAGCCCCCTAGGGATGGGAAATTCATAAAAAAAAATAATATTTTAATCATTAAAATCAAAATAAGTATACATAAGATATCTAATATATATTTTTTATTAAGTTTAATGACTAAAATACTTTCTTTCTTTTTTTTCTTTTTTTTTTATCGATTTTACTTAATAAAAATAGATAAATGATTTAATTTGAAAAAAAAATTAAAAGATTGGGAGCATTTAAATTGTTTCCGGTTTATTTTGTTACAAGGCGCGAAGTGTGAGTTAGTTTTTTTTTGTGTTTTTTGGTAATTGTCCCCAAAAAAAAAGAGAGTAAATTGCATTGTCCCTTATGACCTTGTTTGGATGAGAATTTGAAAATGAAAAAGGAAATGAGAAAAAAATAAATATATATATTACATTTACATTTTTTTTAAAATTTATATTTAAATTCATGATTTAAGGCTAATGGTTATTTACTTTAGCTTATATACTCTTTTTTTTCCCTCTCTTCATTTTGGCTCTAAGCATTTGTAATTTTTTTTTTAAAATTATTTTTAAAATAAATTTTGTTCAATTTTATATATAAAAAAAAATATCATGTTAGATGTCAGTCACGTAATATAAAAATAAAGTAAATTATATTTTTCAGTTTTAAGTTTCATAATTTTTTCACTTTGGGGTAATTTTTTAAAGATTTTTTACTTCTTTTATTTAATGAACGCCGATGTTGGTGTATAAATTTATTTTTTTGACGTATATATATTTGCCTCGTGATGTTAGAATTTTGGGTCCGTCTTGCTGCAGGGTGCAACTGCAAAGTTGTCGGCAGACAAGGCAGCAACAAGAGAGGACGCAGAGCTGAGGAACAACCCTAACTTGGAAACACATCCTGGAGGAGTGGCTGCAGCTGCTAGGCTCAATGAGGGAACCATATGACCACAACCACGAGACTGTATTGAGCATAGTATGTGACCTTGAAAAAGAGACATGTCTTCTTTGTACAATGTTAGATGAATGTTCCGTCTGTTCCTCTGATTGTCTTGTTTTACTTTTGTGTGTGTTTAGACATGTAGAAATTTCATATGATTATGTAATTTTTGGTCTTTTCAAAGTTTTTTGAAAATGTTAAAGAAAGGGTTGATGATTAGCTTGCTTTTTCGTCCCAACTTAATTGGAATCGTTTAGTTTGTTTTGACGTTTTTCCCACTTACCTCTATTTATTGACGTTCATCTTTGTATTTTGTATATTTGATTTTCATTAATAAATTTTCTTTTACTGATAAAAAAAAAATGTATGCTATTACCTTCAAAAATATAAAAAATAAAAAACTTCCGGTCCAACTTCTCTCCAATCAGACCGTGTTGTTTTGAGATAAGAGGTTACAATTCCTTAATTCGTTGGCTCTTCTCATTCTTACTTGTCCAGTCTTTTTCATGAACTTGTACAATTGATGACACACAAATATATAGTAGGAATATAAATCAAAACATCTCTACATTCAGTCTTAATTATTAGTAAGATGGTCAAAATAATGCTAGTTGATGAGTCATTTTGAAAGCAAAAAAGAATATGATTTTAGAAATTAGTTATTGATTTTAGAAATATGATTAAATTGTAAGTCTATAATTATTAGTCTAATATTTTTATAGATGATCTATACTTATGGGTTTTAAAATTAATAAAGGGATTGAATTCTCAAAGTGAATCCCGTGATGTGATCACAAGAATTCATGAATAACACGAGTCAATCTTCTCTTGTGACTGAAAAAATGTCTTGATTAAAGTTTTGGACAATTTAAGTTAAATATTGAACAAGGGGAAAATAAATAATAATCAAATCCCATAAGCAAAGGTCAGCCATTGAAAAGTTCTTTGACACTAATTTGTCTTCTTTCCACATGTTTCCTCTAGGAAGTGTGTAAAATAGTTAAACGTATGGAATTTCACAATCTCAAACTGTATAATTTCTTAGTAATAAAACAACAATATTTTTTATTGTCATTTTTTTTTTTTAATATTGATGGTGATAAAACGATTAATCAGTGTGAAACTTCACACTTTCACTAAAATCTCAAACTATAAAACCTGTGAAATTTGTAAAATTTCACAGTTTCAAACCTAAAATAGTTTAAAATTTTACTTTTATTTTTACATAATTTTATATTCAATTAAGATCTTGTCTGATAACCCTTCTCAAGTAGGTTCTAAAAACATAAATTTTATTAAAAATCAGACGTGTACAATTAAAATTATAGAATTTTAAAGTTTCTAAACATAAAAAGACAAAATGTGTGTGCATATCAGAGCATGAAACAATGATAATTAATGAAAGGTATTGTGGTCAATAATAGGGGTGTAGGATTTATGAGGTGTTGTTAAAATGTCCTAAAATTATTTCGTAAGTGGAGACTCAAACATCGAATTTATTTCATATTTTAATATCATAATAAATTGTTGACCTCTAACTCATCTCAAAATTTAAACTATTAAAAGACATATAATTTTAAAGAAAATTGGTGAAAAGTCCATCATGAAGAGTATATAAGGCAATAGATTTAAGGGAAAATCTTATTTGGTGATAAAGACACGTTGGAAAAGTTGCTAGCGCCAAAAAAGTCACTGGCAACTGCAGCAGGGTGGTGGTGAGATAGAAAAATGTGTAATATTCGACAGATATGGTGTTGAATAAGTGACGTGTTACATTTCAACAAATAGATGGTTTGGTGAATTTCTATAAATAGAAAAATAGGCTTTGTGAATTTTAACAAATAGACAAATTGGGTGATTTCAATGGATAGGGTGATTTTCAAGAGATAAACAGATAGATTGATTTCAACAAGTAGCGTCCTTTTGCCCCAAAGAGATTAAAGTTTAGGTTTAATGGCCCAAAAAATTCAAAAATAAACCTATGACCTGAATGCTCATAATTTTATTATTTATATTCTTAACATTTTTAAAATTGCACTTTCAAAACAAGATTTCCTTAAATAATTTGGCTAAGAAACAAATTCAAAACAAAATAACTCCACATACATGTTTAAAAACAATTACAAAGGTGCAGTCACAAGTAGTGATGAAAAAATTATCACATCCCATTGTATTTGTCCCAACACAATTTTTTTATAAAATATTTTTTTGAAAGAACATTTTTTTTTCTTTAATTACCAAAAAGGAACCTCATTGAGGTGGAAATATTGTACAAACAAAGATAATACATCAATGAAAAGCAATGAGGAAACAAATGCATCAAATCTCAAAAATATATCTCAACTATATTGGCACATGAACACTAAAGTTGTGTTTAAGGAGAAATTTGAAAAGAAAAAGAAAAAACGGGTGTGAAATTAGGTAAAATGTAAGTATATTTTATTCACATTTCACTTACTTTTTTCTTTTTCCTTTTTAAATTATTTTCTAAATTCTTAAACCAAACATAAAGAATAAACCAAATCATGTCGGCTAGATGCCAATACAATGCAACACTAGACAAATAACAGAAAAAACGAGAACAGAGGTAGGAAAAGACCATTGACAGGGAATTCAAATGTCTCAACACTCGGGTTCAAAAATTTGAATAGGGATTAGGAAAATGAAAGGAAAAAAAAAATATATATATATATATATATTAATGTAAAATGTAAATTGTAAAATGTAAACTACCCCCCCCCTACCCCCTCCCCTTCCCCTACCTCTACTCCACTACACACTCCACTTCACCTA